TGTTGAGCTGTATAAAGATGTTGAAAGAAACGAGCTAATGTGTCGAAGCACTGTGTATAATTTTGATAAAACAACATAAGCATAGCAAAATCTGTTTCAAAAACCAACAGCAAGAGTCAATGACCATGAACCTGCTGCAAACAATACATAACACAGTTTCCGTTCTAGAGAGGAATTATTACCTGTTTATAGATCAACCGTTCGAACACACTCTGTCATTATCAATACAGAACGTGTTCGTTAAGCGTTGGAAAGTCTTCATAATTTTAAAATAAAAGGGCCGAGATCTTGTCTGAGATTTATATGAGAACTTGGAAGTAAAGTAATTGGTTTATTATACACACTTTTTAAGTTACTTTTCCATCAAAAGTGAAAATCATTCAGTTGTCCGTAGTGATACATTGTACTGTTTTGTTGTCTATATGTTGTATTTCGTGCAAAGCTTTTCGAAGACTGCCTGAATTAGCCATCCCTAATTTAGAAGTGATATAATAGGAGGAAGGCAACTAGTCAACACCACCCATCGCCGAGTCTTGAGCTTATCTGTTGGGTTATCTGCTATTTCCACCGTGGGAACTGAACCCCGGATTTTAGCGTTGTACGTCCATAGACTTACCGCTGTCCCACCGGAGGACAACTCTTGGGCTACTCTAATAAAATTATAAAATCCCAATGACTGAAAGGGCGGGCATGTTCAGTGATGAGATTCGACCTCACGACCAGGAGATTGGAGCACCATAACCACCAGGCCATTTACTGTTTTTAACTGTGTGTCAATTATCTTGATGGAATTAAACGTTCCATAAAGCTTTTCTTAAAAACAAATACAAATTGAAAATTACTCCAGTAGTTTTATTAAGCTTATCACTTTGAATTATAAAAAAATGGACTCAATCGTCATTTCTTTAGAAAATTCCCAATTTTTTCTCATATTTAGTGATGTAAGCTCTGCAGTAGAAAGATGGTTTGTCAGATTGTTATACCATAGAACGTTTTGCTAAGCCTCTCTGAAAATGGTTGTTGTTACATAAGTTGCCAAATTACACAAAAACAGAACGGTTTTCAGTACTTAGAATACAGTTGTATCTTTTTTACAATGGAAGTAAAACACATTGCTTGACTTGTTTACCAGGCTGTTAGATCAGGTGGAAGGTCTATCTGAGAATAGTTAATGTTATATGTATGTTCCCAAAGGACTTAATACAGAACGGTTTTCGTCTGACATATACACAAAAGCTATTTAATCTTTTTGATGTTGTTAATTATCAACTGCCTGAAACCCAAAAGTATAGGAATTTAATGTACTTTAACTTGCTAATCTGGAAACGCAGCTAAAACAAGAATCCATCAAGTGATAAGAAGTGCAAAATGATTTCAGTATTTCAAATTAAAGAAGATGCTACATAATTACTGGTGAAACGTAGACTTTTAACTTTTGTTTTTAATTATCTAAGCTTTCAGTCATCAAAGAAGTGTCGAAATGAGTTGCTTAAAGTTCTAATATTAATAAAGTTTACTTTGATAAAATGATCGTAAAGGAATCAGTAGGATTTAATAGAAACGTGAAGAACAAGCAAACAGACGAAACAGACATAGTTGAGGTAGCTAGAATAAACACTGGTAGACTGAAAAACCTACAGACTGTCTATAAAAATAGGCAGAAAGAGAACAAAGTTAAATCTACATGTATGCTAACAACAAGAAGGGGTACAGAAAAATAGGTAAAAATATTAATTAAACATAAATATCTTAAATCTACAGAAAAGCTAACAACAATTAGACAAACAACTATAATAGACATCCGTGAGCAGACAAAAATATTGTACGTATTAATAGAAAGTGAAATACAGAAAGCAGGATAAAAATGTGCGAAACGTAAACATATTCAGTATCTGGAGATAAAAAGAAAGTTAAATCGACAGACTAACTACATAAAGCCAAACAGGTATATATATATATATATAAACAGAAAAATATACATTTTTAAAAATAAGTCAACGGTTTGTTGATTCTCGCGCAAAGCTACTCCAATCTGCTTGAGGCGTCCCGATTTTGAAGTAATAGACTAGAGAGAAAAGGCAGCTAGTCAACACCACCTCCTATCAAATTGTGGGATACCCCAATGGAATATTAGAGTTTGACCGTTCGTTATTCCCATAAGTCACCCACAGCCTCAAAGTGCGGAGCGCGATTTTTCATTGATTTTGGCGAGAACGAGGCGTGAATTACGGAAACTATGATCAACAGTAAGGCACACCAGCCACTGGGCTGCGCTCGTCCTAAAGCGACGAATAAATCCATACAGTCAAGCATACATATATATATATATATATAATTCCAGTGCCATAACAACAAAAGATGACCCCCGCATAAAAAGTAGTTAAGCCCCTACTTTATTTCCCAAGAATTGTAGTTACGATCCTGGCTGACTTGGGCCTCCCGCAATTGCGTGGACATACTTACGTCATTGTATTAAATCAAAACCGTGATGTCTAATAAGTTTCTAACCTAAAAATAAGAAAAAAATTCCATTGCGGGTCCTTATCATTATTCATTAACTCATAATGGAAAATGCCTGTTGTTATAGTACCCAAAAGCGTGGGATATTCCATCTATAAGACATCATCCAAATGCAGTGTAGAATGTCAAAGTAGGTAGCCGTAGGGAAGAACAAATTAGGAGTTAGGAATTGAGCGCTTTGACCCACAATGATTAAACTGAAATACACTTAACTTGTGATGATAAGATTAAAGTGTAGAATTTCATTAGGTTTATGACTACGAGAGATGTAACAGATACACAAAACAATCAAACCTTCATACAGCATGTCTGACAAGGCCTGGACCTTCTAAACTTGCGCTCTAATTTGGAGCATGTAACCCATCAGCATCAATACAGTGCACTTGGATGTTTCCATTATAAGATTTCTGTCACAGCAACGTCAATACAATGCACTTGGATGTTTCCGTTATAAGATTTCTGTCACAGCAACGTCAATACAATGCACTTGGATGTTTCCATTATAAGATTTCTGTCACAGCAACGTCAATACAATGCACTTGGATGTTTCCATTATAAGATTTCTGTCATAGCTACTTAGGTGGCCATACAGCCATTGAACTTTGGCTAACCCAGAGTAAAAAAACAGTACAAAAGGAGAAGTTTATTTTATAGGAAGACGTCAAGGCATTTTAGATGTTGGGATTTTGATTGAATAATCTTGTTTTTTTTTAAAAAAAGCTCTTCTTTGATTACAATATAACTGAAGACAAAAAAAAACACAGTAAAGTCGAAGATAGCCGAAGTTTTGTTAACAGATTATGAAATAACTATTGGGAATTTTGATGAAAGGATAACCGTTTTGAAAGTCTTACATCAATGGCATCTTTGTATTGAAATATGAGAAAAAACAATTTTTGAAAATTTTGGGAAAAAACATGGGCTATAGCCTTGGTGTTTTGGTGAAAATATGAATTTTTTGAAATATGGAAAAAATTGCTTTTTTGGGGCAAAATTAATAGAATATATCGGATAGTGCTTATTTCGTCAGAAAACTCAAAATTGAGACATTATAGTATTGAAGAAAATTATTATGCTCGTCAAAAGTTTAAAAAACTGAACTTTGGCTAACCCAGAGTAAAAACATTCCAAAAGGAACCTCAACGGTCGTAAGAGGCCTCGGGACTCGAAAACAAATGTAATTGTAGTAAAGCTTTACTAGGGATGTAGTTGCAGTAAAGCTTTATCAAAGATGCATTTGCAGTAAAACTTTACCGCGGATTTAATTCCAAAAAAAGCTTTACCATAGATGTAGTTCCAATAAAGTATTACTAAGAAGTTAATTGCAATACGAATTTGTCAAAGATGTATTTGCAGTAAAACTTTACTGCAGATATAGTTGCAGTAAAGCTTTACTAAGAAGATAGTTGTAGTAAAACTTCATCAAAGCTTTATCAAAGATGTAGTTTTATCAATAGAATTGAGTTCATACATGCATTTATGTGCGTGAAAACAATGGGAATAAACATCATGGAAACATTTATTACAGAAAATGTTTTGTTCTCTTAGCAGAAATTCTCATAACATATACGTAGGTAGCTTAATATACGATACTCAAAACGGTTATGCTTGAAAATTTGCCGAGACTATTAAATTGCAAAGGTACTTACTGAAATAACTCATTCATATATAAATAAAGGATACACTTCTATAGTATATTCATACGCTCTTTTCAAAGAAACGTGCTTCAAACTATAAGACTGAATCAGGCCTTCTTCCGACATGGGAATGTAAAGTAACATAATACTTTCATCCTAAATTTAATACCAAAACATCTTCCGATTTACAGATATATGTTTATTAATACAATTTTTGGTACAATTGTTCATCCTGTTCAGTTCTTAACCATTAATTATGATAATATTGACTTGTTCATATCCGCTTTTTTGTATGACCATTGTTATTGTATTCCTAATCTTGATTTCCAAAGCAGAACTCTTTCGTATTTATAATTAGTTCATAAATTTAAACTAAAAATGCTAAATATTTAGAAGCTCACCGTAGATAAACATATGAATCTATGTTTCATGCTCTATTTTAATTAAATGTCAGATTATTTTGTTAAATATAGAGCTTGTTAATATTTATGGCCAAAAATATCGTTAACAACGAGGGTACCCAACTGATGAAATAATGCAATGCAAACATTATAAGTGAGACAGTGTATTTAATTAGCTATTTACTTCTGATCAATGTAGATAGATTCGATGACGAGGAACCCACTTTGAGACTAATAATGGCTGGAGACGGCTTGAATGGGTAATGAAGAAAAACTTTAATACAACAGCAAATGTACAACGTTTCGACAAGGTTTTGTCATCATCAGGTACTGATTGTTTTGATCATAAATTAAAATGAGTGTCATAAGAATATGCGAATTGAAATCAATGTTATGTAAAACGAATACAACTTTAATTTTTTTATAGAAAAGTAATACTTACATTTGGTCTCTTCACCACAAAACACTGATCGAAATATTACAGTAACCAATAAATTTAAAACAGTTCGACGTGCACCTCTTCTGGACATGGTAAGGTAACCTTTGTTCTTTATGACAAAACAACGCAACTGAATGTTATATTTTGGCAGTTTCCAGAAAAATAAATAATTATAGAACCAGTGGTATTTTTTCAACAAAAAAGAAATATATTAATTATTTTTAACGATCTAGTTAACTTTACTGACTATAATCGAAAGTGAAACTACTGCCACCTTCCAAAAACAAATCATCAACTGAACTTCGTTCAACTCTGTCTGGATATTTATTACTGGCGAAGTGCCAAATGGTGAGCGTGCAACGACATCTAACGGATGTAAGTTACTCAAGTGTTTTTTGTTTTACAGTATGAGTGTTTTTTTTTTCTTCTAATAACAAAACTTATTTACATAACTCTGAAAATAGGTTCAACTAATAAAAGCAGCCTGTGACAATAGTTATTATTCAAAATATACTGTATGAGAAACAAAAATTATTCATAAACGAAATGGAATTGTAAATAGCATGTTTTATTTGAATTCTCATTCTCTTTCTTACAAATCTCACTGTTTTCAACATATTTCTAATAGCTTAGGAAGCCAAAATTTTTATTCATTTAGAATTAATAACGAAAAGACAGTATTTTCTAAAAGTTGGAACCATTATATCAAAAACCTATTATTTGAGTTTAATGAAATTTTCCTAAGTTGCGTGTCTATAAATTATGGAATTGTTATTCTGAGAATCAACACAAACATCACTAAATTGTTCAAAATATATATCTATACAACAGTATATAAGAAACATATTTTGTAATTAATTTCGGTTACAAATCTGCAACTAAAAAAAACGAACCAACTCAGAAGCAATTTAATGAATTATTGATGCTATTTTTTTCTCTATAGGTAGGTGTTAAGGATATTAATGAAAAACGTATTTTAAACCCTAAGTTTCAATACATAGCTTAAAATATACGGAACTTAAAGTATTAACAATACAATGGACAAGTGTGTTTAATTTATTATAGTTTTGTGTATAGCGATACATATATATTTATTTAGTACTTATATGCACATATTTTCTATTGCAATATACATATTTTTAAGGGACTTTTTTTACTGTTAGTAATTTTGAATTCAATGTTTTTAAAACTATTACATCCATAGTCATTGACAAGTTACCATAAAATACCACAAACTACAACACCCCTTGTTACTAACAAGCTACTAGAAACTATTACATCCATTGTAATTGACAAGTTACCATAAGCTACTACAAACTACCTCATTAATTATCACTAACAAGCTACCACAAACTGTCACATTCATTGTTACTAACAAGTTTTTTTGTTAGTCACAAAAATCATCCATTAAATAAGAGAACGTGAAAGCTGTTATATACACCTCAGTGTACTTTAAACATTGGGAAAAGTACAGATAATCCATTTTGTTGCTTTGTGGTTAATAACAAACAAGCAAACAAACTTACATGTGATAGTTTGTAGTAGCTTGTTAGTGACAAGGGATGTGGTAGTTTGTAGAAGCTTATGGTAACTTGTCAATGACAATGGATGTACTAGTTTGTAGTAACTTGTTAGTCATAAGGGATGTGGTAGTTTATGGTAAACTGTCAATGACAATGGATGTAATAGTTTGTAGTAGCTTGTTAGTGACAAGGGATGTGGTAGTTTGTGGCAGCTTCTTAGTGACAATGCATGTGGTAGTTTCTTGCTGTTGTCGGCTAACATGTTTATTTTTTCCCCATTGATAATAGCACGTTAATATGTAATAACAAATAGCTGTTTATCTAATTTTCTAATTGAAAAATAATCACCTATTTATGTTAATTTGTTGCGAGACTTAACAAGTAGTTAGAAAAATTATACTTAGCGAGTACACAGGTAAAAATGTTGCATAATTAAAACAATTCTTACAAATATTTCAGCCATAACTACGTCAAAATCATTGCTTGATAAACGTTTTCAGCTGGAGAATATTTTAGTCACGGAAAAAAGATTGTATTAGGTTTAAATTTAGACTTCTTCACTTAATAATTAAGTTGTTTTCTTTCAAAGTAAGTTAAGTTTCTTATACAACATTAGAGTTCAGTGAAACTCTCGGCAATTGCTAATGGAGATGTTCAGTTATACTTGGCCTTGGCCTAGCCTAGTGGTTATTGTACCTTATCTGTGAATCAGAGAACTCATGGTTTACGTCCTGTTGCCGCAAAAACGCACTTACACTTTCGGCTGTGGAGTTTCTAAAACAATTAAGGTCAGATCCCGCTAGTCGGTCAGACAAGAGTAGCTTAAGTATTACTGAAGTGGGCATTATTAACTAGCTGCCTTCCCTCTAGCATTAAGTTTAAAATTAAGAATCATTGTGCTTATATACTTCTGTGTAGCTATGCACTAAAATTCGTAAACAAATAAGTCAAGTATATTTTTCATTTATTATGATCCTGTACTGATCAAGTTTCATAACCTTATAAAACGCTCTATGAAACTAAAATATGGTAACTTTTTTGGGAGTTCACACTGATCTGTGTAGGTTGTATGAAGATATGATGTAGTAACGTCTTGGTATACACGTTGCTACACAAGTCCAAATAAGATAGCCGTTTAATAATTGGTTGAGTATACATCTGTCTGTGTTGGTTGTAGGAAGATAATGGTTATAGTTTTTGCCACACACACATATCAAGTTCTCCAATGATAACGCTGTAGTAACTAAATGCACTAAATGCACTAAAATAGTTTATTAATTTGTTCGATATATACCAATCTCCCCACGTTCGTAAGAGATAATGGCAGTGCTAATTTTTCGTATATGCATATATGTGCTGTTGTAAGAAGTTCTAGCCTCTTTGATAGAATCAAACCTGTTGATATTGACTTTATGGAATGCAGTTGTTATTCGTTGATCACTAAATAGCTAACCCTTCAAGTTTTACAAAACAGCTCTTTATGAGAGTTATTTGTGATTATAATTTTCATTTTTGATCTCAATTTTTCAACATATCCGTATATATATATATATATACGGATGTATCTGCACTTGTACGTCATGCCCTTTTTTCTGATAAGTAAAGCTTTCCCGTGTGTGTCATTAATTTATAACGTCTTCTCAGTCTGAGGGAAACCAAATTGCAGGTTTAATCTTCCCCTAAGGGTGGATACCAAATTCTTTCTCCTTGACCAATAATTGGTTCATCTCTTGGAGAACAATTCAAGACACTAGAAAATAATAATAAGCCTCATATCACTAAATCACGATCAAAAGAAACAGATATACCTTGAAGAAATAGAAGACAGTTGTGCGATAAAAATATCTCTTTTCTGATAATGATGATTGTAGAAAAAGTTTCTCAAAAATTTAACAAGTAAAAGTTTTATCATATTTGCTAGGCCACAAATGAGCAAGAATTAATGGTGAGATTTTGAGTATAATTTTTAACGAGAAAGAATCACTGAAGATATTTTAGTCTGTTACAGTTTTTTATTCGCTTCAAAGTAAGAACTAAGATAAGACTGTGATATAACAAGAAAAGTTATCGACCAATCGCTCACCCTTAAGATTACACGACTGATCATCAGACACCTGATTTGGATAATAGTAGCGTAATGTTATCTTATAATAGCAGTTTTGCTTTTTCATGTTTACACACTCTATAATATTACAAATTCCTTCACATGGTTTGTACAATGTAGGAAAATGATCTGAACAGTAGCAGTACAACATTGATATTTCCTAGTTATAAGTATTATTTTATTACAAGTTACAGCATTTATGGTAAGGAAGAACATAAAACAGGTAAGACGTTTCGATCACATGTGGACTTAAGAACGATCACACCAATGAGCGAAACGTCATACCTGTTCTAAAAACATTATTCCTGTCTGTGAAAGCTGTAACTTGTAATAAAACAATAATTATATTTCCTAGTAAATACTGATATCATACATCTTCTCGGCTGTTTGACTGTTTTAATAGAAACTGAAGAGTTTCTATAAAAAAATATTTCCATATCTGGATGAAAAATTATATCTAGCTCAAAAATATTTGTATAAATACACATTTACTCTCAAGTGAAATGTAAAAATAAAAAACAAAGTCCAATAGGACGAAAACGTCCGTTCCACTTTATCATATGTTTCTATTTTTAGAAAACATGTAGCATTTTCAACAAGAGAATATCCAGTCGAAGAATGCCCTGTTTTTCTAAGTAACAACCCAAAAGTTGTCCAACCTTAGAATGCTTCCCACGATAAGACTAAATGATATTTTTTCAGAACAACTGATAATCTTTATTTTTATCAAAAAGTGTACATAATGATCTTTTAATTCCATAATTAATTCAGTGAATGTAATGAAGGTGTATAACTAAGAACACAATAACCAGATAATTAAAATCCTTGCACTTTGAATTTTCTTTCTTTTTTTTATAATACATCTAGTTTGGGAATGCATAGTCTTAAATATTTATCTTTCAACTTACAATCTACGATCATCTTGATAATATTAACTTTTATTTTTGCTATGTGATAGTCCATTTTCCTTTTATGATTAATTAGTACCGTAATGAGCAGCCTCATATTTACCTCTAAATGTTTATCACTCTTTTTCTACGTAGTAATTTTTTTATCTTTAAACCAACTTCTCTTTCTTTTATTTTTTTATCGAGTGACCCTTACATCTTTATTGAGTTTTTTATACTTAGTCTCTCTATTTATGCATTTCTTGATCTATCACTCTTCATTTATTTATTGCATATCTCAGTAAATATACATGGTGTCATCTTTTTTTTACCTACTGATTTATTTCTATGTAGCTACTTCTTTTATCTGTCTACTGACTCATTTCTATGTAACCACTTCTTTTATCTGTCTAATGACTCATTTCTATGTAGCCACTTCTTTTATCTGTCTACTGACTCATTTCTATGTAACCACTTCTTTTATCTGTCTAATGACTCATTTCTATGTAGCCACTTCTTTTATCTGTCTACTGACTCATTTCTATGTAACCACTTATTTTATCTGTCTACTGACTCATTTCTATGTAACCACTTCTTTTGTCTGTCTAATGACTCCTTTCTATGTAGCCACTTCTTTTATCTGTCTACTGACTCATTTCTATGTAACCACTTATTTTATCTGTCTACTGACTCATTTCTATGTAACCACTTCTTTTATCTGTCTACTGACTCATTTCTATGTAACCACTTCTTTTGTCTGTCTAA